CTCAAAGGTCGGGTTTTCCCCATAAGAAATACATAGAACAAATTTAAAAACAAAAACAGCTGTTTATAAAAAGAAACTCATTAGCTTTTTGGGAGTAGCCTAAATATTGCTGTTTAAACATAGTAGGTTAAGACCAAGTTAAACAGTTAATCAGTTTTGTTGGAAGAACGGAAAATGCCTGAAGTTCAAAGAAGAAATATTGAAAATGGGTGGAGGAGACAATTAATAATCTATATCTATATATATAATACGTGAAGCCGTATTTTGTTAACGCAACTCCTCCCTTATTTGTGGACCAATTTCAACGTTCAAGGTGTCAAAAGATTCGTCTCAATATGTAGTTTTGCAATAAGGTTTTAGAACTTTAAAATGTCTACTCTTAAGGGCGCGAGACCCTCTCAAAGGTCGGGTTTTCCCCATAAGAAATACATAGAACAAATTTAAAAACAAAAACAGCTGTTTATAAAAAGAAACTCATTAGCTTTTTGGGAGTAGCCTAAATATTGCTGTTTAAACATAGTAGGTTAAGACCAAGTTAAACAGTTAATCAGTTTTGTTGGAAGAACGGAAAATGCCTGAAGTTCAAAGAAGAAATATTGAAAATGGGTGGAGGAGACAATTAATAATCTATATCTATATATATATATATATAATACGTGAAGCCGTATTTTGTTAACGCAACTCCTCCCTTATTTGTGGACCAATTTCAACGTTCAAGGTGTCAAAAGATTCGTCTCAATATGTAGTTTTGCAATAAGGTTTTAGAACTTTAAAATGTCTACTCTTAAGGGCGCGAGACCCTCTCAAAGGTCGGGTTTTCCCCATAAGAAATACATAGAACAAATTTAAAAACAAAAACAGCTGTTTATAAAAAGAAACTCATTAGCTTTTTGGGAGTAGCCTAAATATTGCTGTTTAAACATAGTAGGTTAAGACCAAGTTAAACAGTTAATCAGTTTTGTTGGAAGAACGGAAAATGCCTGAAGTTCAAAGAAGAAATATTGAAAATGGGTGGAGGAGACAATTAATAATCTATATCTATATATATAATACGTGAAGCCGTATTTTGTTAACGCAACTCCTCCCTTATTTGTGGACCAATTTCAACGTTCAAGGTGTCAAAAGATTCGTCTCAATATGTAGTTTTGCAATAAGGTTTTAGAACTTTAAAATGTCTACTCTTAAGGGCGCGAGACCCTCTCAAAGGTCGGGTTTTCCCCATAAGAAATACATAGAACAAATTTAAAAACAAAAACAGCTGTTTATAAAAAGAAACTCATTAGCTTTTTGGGAGTAGCCTAAATATTGCTGTTTAAACATAGTAGGTTAAGACCAAGTTAAACAGTTAATCAGTTTTGTTGGAAGAACGGAAAATGCCTGAAGTTCAAAGAAGAAATATTGAAAATGGGTGGAGGAGACAATTAATAATCTATATCTATATATATAATACGTGAAGCCGTATTTTGTTAACGCAACTCCTCCCTTATTTGTGGACCAATTTCAACGTTCAAGGTGTCAAAAGATTCGTCTCAATATGTAGTTTTGCAATAAGGTTTTAGAACTTTAAAATGTCTACTCTTAAGGGCGCGAGACCCTCTCAAAGGTCGGGTTTTCCCCATAAGAAATACATAGAACAAATTTAAAAACAAAAACAGCTGTTTATAAAAAGAAACTCATTAGCTTTTTGGGAGTAGCCTAAATATTGCTGTTTAAACATAGTAGGTTAAGACCAAGTTAAACAGTTAATCAGTTTTGTTGGAAGAACGGAAAATGCCTGAAGTTCAAAGAAGAAATATTGAAAATGGGTGGAGGAGACAATTAATAATCTATATCTATATATATAATACGTGAAGCCGTATTTTGTTAACGCAACTCCTCCCTTATTTGTGGACCAATTTCAACGTTCAAGGTGTCAAAAGATTCGTCTCAATATGTAGTTTTGCAATAAGGTTTTAGAACTTTAAAATGTCTACTCTTAAGGGCGCGAGACCCTCTCAAAGGTCGGGTTTTCCCCATAAGAAATACATAGAACAAATTTAAAAACAAAAACAGCTGTTTATAAAAAGAAACTCATTAGCTTTTTGGGAGTAGCCTAAATATTGCTGTTTAAACATAGTAGGTTAAGACCAAGTTAAACAGTTAATCAGTTTTGTTGGAAGAACGGAAAATGCCTGAAGTTCAAAGAAGAAATATTGAAAAAGGGTGGAGGAGACAATTAATAATAAGGTATCTTATGCGTAGTAGAGAAAGAGAGGCCTGGTCTAACAGATACACATCCATATACACATTCACTTGGTGAGATGAATAATATTTGCCAGTTCTGCTATGCAACTTACTTTGGAAGTGAAAAAATATACGAAGCACATAGTGTTGTCACGATGGTAAAATAAACTTGCTTAATGTCAGATCAAATTAATGAACGTGAGAAATGTTCACTTCTGAAACTGAGAGTACTCAAACAATTTAGTACAAACAATAATAATACCTTGACTATGATAAGTTCAAGTAGTAAGATTATACCAAATCTTGGCGGACCTTATGTTTTTATTGTAAACTTTTGTATTACTAGCTCTACTTTATTGAGGAAAACACAAATGGATTGTTTACTTCTAGGTTATGTTGCCAGTTCCTCGGACAAACTTATACAAAGTTTTTGACTGAATTTTAGTGGCAATATTAGACATAAGTGAAGGAATTAGTGTTTATGTATTCAACGATTGAGTAGGTACAGTCAAGTTTATTTTTATAATTCAGGAGAGGCAAATAATATACGCTGTTCAAAAAGAGATAATGAAAATTGCTATCCAAATCTTATAGCTACAATAGTTATCCAACCTATTTCGACAAATGAATCCATACTATCAAAACTTTGGGACAGGTAGCCTCTTAAGAGAAACCCCACTGAACAACGTGAGAACGTTCTGATGCGGGTCATATACTATGACTAACACACAACACGTTAAAATACGTTAACAAACTATCAACGGTTTTGCTGCTTTAGCTTATTCAAAGCAGATTATGGCTTTCCAGTTGATAACCCAGAGTTTATGGGTAAAAAATGGAGCACATTAAATGGTTGATATCACTCCATTTTTCAGGATTCTCTTCGGAGAAAATTCGTTTGATTAGGGGATGTCTAGGCAACATGCTAGGAAAATTCAAGTTCTCAATGCTGGAAAAACTTTGTTGCAACATGTTAGCTCGAATTGAAGCAGATCATTTAGCTTTTATTAGAAGTTATCAGTTAAAACTGAGAGCAGAAATAATGTAGGGGAACCTTGACGATACAAATAGAGATATTTAAAATTAGTTTCTAACAAGTGATTAAACAACTCTAAGATGTAACTAGAATTACTCGAATTTAAGCATAAAGTTTTCCTCGGCGTTATGTTTCATACTATGCGGCTCAATGAGCCGCACGGGTTCTCTAGTTATTTAATATTTCAGAACTAAAATTAATATAAAAGTAAAATGAATTTTTTCGGGTGGAAAATAGAAGCATGAATAGTTATTTAAAATTAATATAAAAGTAAAATGAATTTTTTTGGGTGGAAAATAGAAGCATGAATAGTTATTTAAGTAGGCCTATAAAGTACGGAACTAGCCTATAGGCCTATCTATACTATAAAATTCTAAAAATATGTTCAAAAAAGTATTTTGAATTAGTTAGATTAGAGCTATCTTAAAAGTAGTAGGAATGTTTGAATTGTAATGAGTAAAAACTATTTGAGCCAGTGAGACTTGGAAATTTAAACTTGATCTTAAGCCTTAATTTAATTTGAATACAGTTATGTCAAAAAATCATGTTTAGGCTAATCAGGGAAACACTGGACCGATAAGTGCTAAGTTAACTACTTTTGAACTAGTATCCCAGGGCTCCCCAGGAGCATTGATTTCCCCTCAGTTTACTTCATTGGGGAATCTAAAAGACATGTCAGAATAGTAAGCACTGATAATAATCACAATTTTTATTTTCTATCACAATAGTATTGCCATGTCTTTGAAAAAAAAATGTTTTCACCCAATAACAATGTTGATAAGATTAACCATACAGATACTACCAGTACTGGAACTTATAAATTAAAATTTAAAATCATTTAACAGATTGTTTTATAAAAAAATATATCTCAGTCAGTCATATTTTTTAGGAAAAAACTTCTCATTGGGAAATATTGATAAGTAAACATTAATAATAAGTGTAATAATAATAAAATATCGCAAAATCGACATAACTTTTATAAAAAAGTAGGAAAGTAGGACAAATGTGTAAAAAGTAGGAAAAGTAGGACGACTTGGAGGCCTGAAATTGATTAAATTTTAAGGAGTTAAGAACCTTTTGCAACTTAACTGTAATTTGTAACTTTTGTATGTTAGATCAATTCTAAATAAATAAATATATTTTAGAATTATTCATTATGTTGATCTAATTTTATTCAAGGAAAAATATTAACAGTATATTGTATTAAATGTATAGGCTTAGTAGAACTCCAATTACCTGAATCAATTGAGAATGTACAACAATCAGATGGTTGGATTTGTACAGAAATCCAGGGTATTTGACATAAAAAAAAGGCAGAGTCGAGCTGAGGTTTTACTAACTAGGACTGTAGAATGTGTTTGAGAAAGATTTTACGATTAAAATATTCATGCTTCAGCCAAAATCGCAGAGGGCGGTTATGAATTTCCGTAACCACAAGAGACGGCAAAAGATGTTAAAAATTAAGTTGCAATCGCGGGATAGGTTTTGGTTTTTGCCGCGATCACGGCCTCTGCCTTCTTTAATGATAATTCTTACAATTTGGGTTTTAGTTTTTAAAATTCCTTCTGTAAGCAATTCAGATAGTTAAGAGTTGGGAGTTCTACTGTAATCATTCTGGCAAGTTCTGTATTGGAGGTTCCTCTTCTGTTTGTAGTTTGAACAAAGTTATCAACATTAAATTACATGTGTTATCAATTGAACATATTACAGTAAAGGTGAGAGGATGAATGAAACCCACAAGTATGAAGAATTAACAGCAATATTTATCAAATAAACACAGTTTACATTTTAATAATTATTTTATAAACATAAAAAGTTTGATATTCAACAAAAACTAGGGAGAATTTTGGTTACAAAGCATTGCCGACAGTCGAGAGGCAACAGTGGAGCCGACTGACGACGTTTTTATCGTACAAAAATTAGAAAATGTACAAAATTCATAAAAAATAGGAGTGATTGAAAATGCACACAAATTATGAACCCCTATCTAGAATACTATAACTAACAGTATTAATTAAAATTAATTAAAGCCAGTACTAATCCTTTCCTAGCTTGCACATCAGGGCTGTTTTGCTTTGGTTCCCAGCCTCACAATATTTAACAATACATATACATAGCATTTTAAACAAATATAAAATTGTTTGCTATAATATTTTTGTTAGGCTTTTTGGGGATACACCTTGTATATTTGTCTTACAAATACACTGTGCACCCCGCCTACATGGGTCGTAGAAGGGACTAGGATATGGCTAATAGATTTCCAACCTATTTAGCTATTGCACTTTTCTACATACAAATGTAATCGTCTATAAAAAACTATTAATTTAAAACACTTTACATATTAAAAAAATATTTTAAATATATTAGGATCTAAAAAGTTTAAGGTAACCGAATTTAATAGCATCGTGCTATATTATAAAAACTTTAATATTATTTTGACAAAAACAAAATTCACAAGCTAGGAGTTATAGAAAAATAAAGATTTGACTTGAGACAAAACGTCTAGCAAACCATAACAATTGACTACGATAGTGCAACACTGACACTAGGTAACTTACGACTACAATAGTGCATGATACTTATAACATAGTGGTAACATTTACTCGGTATATATACAGCGGCACACCAAAGCAAAACAGCGGGACACGGCCAAACACACAAATATTTGTACTTTCACACCGACTTGGCTTGATGCGATTGAAACGTGGAGACTGAAGTGAATGTTATCCTGGTAACTTGAGTATTGAAATTAGAAAACGGTTATTGTATTTATGTATAACAAATTGCAATGTTGTATGTACAAACGTTTCAGTCAAATGGAACAAGTTTGTCTGTGCAATTGGTTTTCATTGAAAACTGGCACTAAATTGTCAGTGTAAGTGTACAATCATAAAAATTAAAATCTCTAGAGATCAATTACATAATATCTAATGGTTACAAAATAAGAAATCAGTAACAAAACACACCAAATAAATAAAATTATTTAAAATAAACTATTAAATCTTGTAACACGTTAAAAATAAAACGACATATATATAATATATAACAACAGAATACTTTTACAGAATTTGCAGTTAAAATAAGTTTATGCACTACGAATAAACTAGAAAAATTAAACAAAAAAAGAAGAATTAAGTAAACGCTAACAGTAATATGTCCATTGGAGGTGCAATAAACTGTGCTTAATTTAGTATTTTGAATTTCAATCGCATTGTGGTAGAGAAGAAGAAATACTTTTACCAAGACTTTAAAAAACACGTGGATATAAAAAGACTCATAGCAAATATATAGTAAAAGTATTTCTTGGTGAATAGTTAGTTCGCCATGCAATCCTCCTCTCTTGATTACGATTAATGACAAGTGACGGTTAATATATTTTGGTCCTGTACAACTTTAACAAATATCTCCAGTTGTTAGTTAAGATACTCATGCGAATCTAGGGTAACTATGACACAGCACAAGATATATGCCGGCCTCAGACCAATTGTAAGACAAACTATAAAACTATTAAGAACACATCTGTTTAGAAAGAATTACTTGTCTCATAAAACCTATTTATACTAATTTATACCCTAAAATGTTCTACATTAAATATAGTTCAATAAAAGTAGATACCGGATTAATTGCTCCAGGCAATTTACCGAGAGTCTATTGTTAAAATCCAAATTGAGAAAAGCGTGTGATGCAGTCTACAGAAAATGGTAACAAAGAGACACAAATACGAGACATGTATTGTTGACTATTGTATGTTGTTATCAGTCGGTACATCGATACGGGTATAGAGGTGTGATCACTATACTACGGTATGAGTGCCATCATAGAAACTACACTAGACATTACATTACGAGTGGAATCGTCACACTGGAATATCTATACAAATTTTATAGTCTTATTCGATTAAAAAAATTATCAATTACAGAGCTAAATGTTTAAAATAATTTAGCCAAGGCTACAAATGAATCACGAGTAGATTTTGTATTGAATACAACTATCACATAAGACAAAAGTGTCAGTAAAACGTTTTGTTAATTCCGCGTAGAAAAGATACATTCGTTATTTAGGCCTAACCAGTTTGCTGCTTTGCAACACGAGGTGAACTGCTCAGAGCAGTCCATTACAAGCGTAAAAACACAACAAACGCAATCGCTCGTAAATACAAAACAACAACGTAACAACTACTTTTATTAAGAAAGTAAAAAATAACATACATCTAACTATATCATTCAATTATTGGAATCCAATATCCATAAAAACACGTTAACACTTGGTATGAAACACTCAACACCCGGTATGAAAATTCTCATTCTGGATCAAAAATCTAAAAACAAGCGGTAAGGCTTTAATCCTATCCTGGAATTATTATTAAAAATAGAAAAGGAAATCTGACTATCGATGTGGTCGGCCCATGGCATCGACTAGCCCACCTATCTTAGCGGTGAGTTCCAAAGAAAGCATTTACAAATCGTAAAAAAGTGGGACGAATATAGTGAGGGGTCACTATTTATATATTAATATTCTTACAGCTTACTAGGAGATATAAAATAAAGGACTCTTTGTACCCATACGGAGAGAAGACACTTACTCAGCTTGTAAGCTAGGGTTAGGTTGACTAGAAATCTCCAACTCTTTGGTATCAGGAGATCGACCGGTGCCCACCTTACATGACATAAGGGACAGTGGGAGTCGGTGGGCATCGGAATCAAACACAGGTCTGGTCCATGGGGGCAACCCTCCTCCCCAGCCTAAGTAACGTATCAAAAGTAGTTATGCCGATCGGAATATGAGGTCAGTGGCAAAGTAAAAAATCGTTCATATATACATAAATGAGTCCCAAAAATAAAATTAACTACCTACAAGGTAATGTATTTTTTCAATTAAAAAACACAAAGCAGTCTGTAAAACTACACGGTATAGTTTTTGGTTCAGTATAATCAAAACTTACTTTTTACACAAACAACTATTTACACAAAAAGGCGTTACAAAAAATGTGAAGGGCCTGTTAATCTAATACGACAAAGAATCAAAAAACAATAACAGGACTTGTGGAGGTAAAAAAACTTCTGTCAGGCTTTGCGGCTAAGACATCCCATAAACGACGCCTATTTACAAAAATACCCTGAAGAGAATTTCACCAAAACTTACAAAGTGTGGCGAAAGGGCCACAAGACATCTAAAGAACGGTGAAGAGTTACATAATGTCAATATGTAATGATAACAGTTAATGGAGAATTAGACTAAGTTTTACAGCGAATCAAGAGAATCTAGGCTAATATACGGATTGGCTAGAGAATTGCGCTAATGTGCGCCTGGGTTAACACCAACGGAAGGGCACAGCACGAGGTCGATCAGCGCCTTCCTTGACTAGTGGCTTGTGAAACTCTCGGCCAGGACGTGAATGGATGGTGGCCCAGCAGTGCTCACAGTAGTACTGTAACATGGTATATACAAATTTATCAAAGTATCGACAAATATCAATTTACTTTGAACTAATCTATTTAACTTACAAGTACAGGCTATTAAGCAGCAACATGTTACCTGATAAAATTAAAATAAAATAAAATAAAATAAAATTGTTATTTGGAAATATATGATGTGATGTGTTGTGTGTGATCGGATCACACAATAAAGTGTTGTATTGGCAAGACTGACCTAAACTGTTTTCTAAAGAAGCCCTGTTTGTAGGGACGAAATACAAAATTAATTGTGTAGTGTAGTAAACATTTGTGTGCCTTCAATTGCCTGGAACTCTATTAAGTTTTAAAATTTAGTTGTTCATCAAGCACTAGCACTATTTCACACAGAGACAAGTAATAATACTTTTGTTCCAACTATAACAAAGCCACATTTAAAGGGTGTCCTCAAAGGGGAAATAGGTTTGTGCTGTACAGAAGTTTACCTGGAGACAAGTGACATTTGCACAGAAGAACGGAGCGAACTTGCCACCACAGCGTTGCCCCTGACACTCGTCACACATCTGGTCATCCAGGACATATGGCTTCACTTCCACCTACATAACATACCACACCACACAAGTGTAATACAACAAATAATAATTCAAAGTAATGGTAGCAAGGTTATCTTCTAAATAAACAGGCAAAATAACTCAAAAGAAAATATTAATTCGATTCTTTTTATTTCCAAGGAATTAGGCCGGCAATTGAAATTTTATCAAGAGCCTGTCAGATTGATGTCTAAGTGACAAACCCGAATGAAGAGTAAATGCTACGGTGTCGGTAGGCCTGATAAAATTTCTTATTTGCAACCCTCCTTGAGGAACTTGTCTCAATTTAATCACCTTTGCCTGTCAATTCGTAGGCAGCGCCACCAGCGTTGCCTACGAATTGACAGGCAAAGCTCTCTCAAAACACTTAATGATTTTTACCATGCGGTTGGCATTCTGGGTTATAGTAGTATATTTTCTGTGACAGTGTATTATTATGAACTGTCAAGCACACAAGCGCTGTCAACTCGTAGTGACAAAATCTGGAACAACATCAAGTCTCGACTCGAGTAGACGAGTAATGCACCCAACCTAAGCGCTATGGACTCGTAGCGGCAGATCTAGTAAGCTGTAGTTCACGAGTAATAGTACTCGAGTATCGCCGATTTGGTATCGAGTCGACTCAATACTTCATTGGACTCGATACTTAACGAGTCAAGTACTCGACTCGTCACATCACTATGGTGAACGGCTTTGAGTAAATGGCGTTCGTAGCCTGTCGTCTTCGTAACATGCTGATTTTGCTTTTCACGCAAATAAATATTTCCGGTTGGAGAAAAATTTTACACGTTTTCTGTGACTCATTAATTGTTGAATATTTAAAATTTAAAAAATCCACCCCAGTAAAATTCCCGCACATTACTGCTATAATTACAGAATTTCCGTAATTCCCGCATAGTTCCTGGCGTCATAATATTCCCTTATAATTCCTGCTTTTCCCGGTTTTCCCGGTCGCCAGACACCCTGTGAAACGACTGTTCTCGTGGGAAAGATTTGAGACCAGTGATCACGTGTCTAAATACAATGCTCTACTAAATTTAAGCCTAATACTGTATACACTATGCATTTAAATGGTCTGTTTTAACGAGTTTTTGGGGACGTCGGTTTAACCGGAAAAACCGTTATTCGGACTGGCCTCGGTCCCGAGGAGTCCGAATAAGAGGGAGTCTAATGTAGTGGGAAAATACTGAGTTAGATATTTTTGTTAAAATTTGTACAACTAAATCTAGACTTCTACTGGACCAATTTTGTCTATTAAAGGGTTATTGGAAAGCTTATTCGTGTAGATTTGCTAATAATTATAAAAGTGTGATTTTATTAAATATTTGTGGTAAAAAAGTAGAAATTACAAAAATATATTAGTTAATAGGGCAATGGAAAGCATCATCCATGTAGATTTGCAGACTTTCTAAATCGACATATTCAGTAGACCAACATTTTTATCAGCGCTATCAGAAACATGCCGCCTGCAGTGTCATTAATTCACTTCTATTTCTTAATATTATAGACACCATAATTGTTTAGCCTACTTTTAACACACTACAAGGAGCCTTCTATTTAGTACTTTTTTGTTTACTAATTAATTGTGTTTTATACTGTCTTAAATGCATTAATCGCTAGTCATTGTATAGCTTACTTTTAACAAACTAAATGTAGAATATTGTTTGGAACTTATTATTCACTTTGACCACTAATGTTTACTGCTTCAGGGAAGGTCATGAGGTGTGTTTTTCAACAACAGTTTATTTATTCTCCATAAGAACAGAATTTTAAATTTAATAAACTTTTTTTGAATTTACTGAGTAACCATTGGGCATACAACAACGCTTCAATATACTAAATTATTTATTTTTTTAAGCTCTACAAAATGGTTTAGAAAGTAATTGCAAAATTTTATGTTTTTAGGGCCAGCAATGGAAAAAACTGGTTTAAACGCCCGTTCCTATAGTCCGATCAAGCTGGTTTGCGAACCATTTAGAAATTCAATACAAAGTCCTGACTTTCCCGTTCCCGTTTTTCCCGACTACTAGACACCCTGTCTTACTCAGAACTCATATTTGGACCTTACCCTCTTGTCAATGTCGCCATGTTGCAGTTGGACGAAGCGAGCACTGATAGCTGCGATGTAGCTCTGTTGGTTGCTGAAGGCCACACGGCCGGCACCCTTGGGGTACTTCAGCTCAGGATCAGTGTCGATGCCCGCATAACACACTCCTCCATACAGGCGGTCCATGATCATTGCTAACTCAACTGTAAAGTAAAAATTAAAGAAAATTAAACATTTAATTGGGGAAATTTATTTATTAAATTATATGTTAGTACATTATAATAACAGGACACATTGTCAGTACCAGTACATAAATCTCAGACTACATTTGTTTTTACTAAAAAACAACTGAATCTTCCAGAAATATAATATTTTTATAGGAAACCAATTGAGCTAGAATGAGCTGAGGTAATTCATGCAGTCCTTCAAATATTCTGCCAATGAAAAAAAGATTTAGTCTCTAGCAATTTTTTTAAAGAAAGTCTAAACTTAGAAGGATTTTCTAGAGCAGCGGTTCCCAAACTTTTCAGTATGGCGACCCACCTACATCTTGGATTTTCTTTCGCGACCCACTGATTAAACAATATTAATAACAATAACTTTTCATTATAATTTTATTATTATTATTATTAATTATTATTATTAATAAGATTATCATGTCAAATGTGTAGTGAGAAAATTGTTAAGATGGTGTTATTTAAAATAGAATATACAGTCCAAACCCACTATTATTTCACAAAATTTAAATTATTGAGAACTGGTGTTTTTTATAACAAGCTATACTTGGGTTGAATGTTGATGCCTACTGTAGGGGGCTGAACATTTTTCATTTCTAGCCCATGTCTGCATTTAATTTTCATTTTCAAATACATCAGGTGAAGGATCAAGGTCATCAAGGATCAGGTCAAGGATAATATTCTCACACAACTACTAGAACTAGAAAGGTGAATTATTAGTATATGGATAGTATTTTACATGCCAAGTATAAGTTTTATCTTCACAAAAAATTTGCTATTAGGCCTATCTTCAGAAATTAAGAAAGACTAGTCACTGTTCACTGAATAAATTTATATTTATGACAGAATAATTATTGCATTTTTTGAATCTCCTTCGTAGAGCTGGATGCCAGCAGTATACAGTTTCATGTTTTACTGTGTTGGCCTAATTGGAAATCCCACAACTTGATTTTTATCAACCCTACTACAACAGTAGACCTCGTCTTTAATGACCCTTACGGGACCGGACCTAGGTCGGATAACTCAAAAGGTCTGCAGTTAAATCATCTATCCCTTAAAACAAAAAAAAAATGAAGTAATATTTATTTGGAATAATTTAATCATTATTCTGAAGTCATGTGCATTATTAATGCAGTAGATTTTAAACTTCGCCTGCTTGTTTTAACTTTTGTAATTAAATTATCTTTGTTATTTTTTCTCTGAAATATTTAATTACATTTTAAAACTATGTAGCAATTTATTATATAACAAATTACAAACCTAATTGCACTGTAATATATTAGTCCTGAAAATAGGTGTTTACCGGACGAGTGTGGTCGTTCCTGTGCGAGAGGAAGCGGGACCAAGTCGAGTACAGGATTACCATACGAGTCTTGGACGAGTGACGTACATTTTACGCCATACTACTCTAAGCTAACAATAACAAATCTATACGAATCCTTTTATATTCCCACCGACTAAAGGACTAACAATCACTACTCATAACCACTCTAAGAGAGGTCATGTTTTTCTGTATAACCACTTATTGTCAAATATAATATGCTAGTTGGTGTTCGGCAAAAACTCATTACAATACAGTAGTACCTTTGACTATTAATCCAATAGTCAATGGTAGTATGTAGTGAAACCCCATTTGATTAAGCTGGCGGCAAAAAGCTGTTTTCTGGACTAAATCCTAGCGTGGGAAGTTTGTTAAAACAGTGTAGTGTGGCGTAAAATGTTTAAAGGGTAATAAAGTTTCTTATTCTTATTATAAAACAAACTACACTTATCTCCTTTTTTATGTATTGTCGATAGAAAGTCACTTATAAATCCAAAACACAGTCAAATATAAAGTCATATACTTTCAGTGGAATAAATAATAGTCATATTAACTGATGTTTTCTAAATCTATCGTAATACAGTTCAGAACTTATTGTCGAAATAAAGATATAAGCTACAATTTTGTTACGAGACAGGATGTTTATTTATACAGTGATATCCTTTAGAGTTTAGCGTATTGTTCCCATCGCCGAACAAGTGAGAAGAAATTCCTAAATTCCTAGAAAGTGGCGGTTAAACCAAACTACTTTTAAAACAAGGTCGGTTCAAAGAAACTGTAATATTTTACGAGCGAGGGCAGATAATCCGATGATTGGTTAGTGCGAGTTCGGTTATTAGGGGGTCTACTGTAAATTGGAACTTGATAGTTCATTCCTTAATTCTCTTCCTCTGTTAAAAAAGTACTACTTTCTAGTTTGGCAAAAATGTATATTTTTTTAATATTTGAACATTTTTACACTAAGCTACATAAGCCTTATAACAGTCTTTTTCACATTTATTTTTTATTTAACTAATTTACTTTTAAATACATCATGTTGAGTCAGCCATATCATTAGTTCTTCTTTCTTAAACAGTAACAAAGCTTGAACAACAACTACCTGTTCAAAATGAGTATAAACATTTAAAGTTTAAACATCAAAAAGTTGAATCAAGATAACTGTTTTGTAATGACAAAATAGTGATTTAAGTGTACAGTAGACCCCCTCTTAACCGACCCTAATGGGACCGGACCTAGGGCGGATAGCTCAAAAGTTCGGTTAAAACAGGCGATCCCTAAAATCATAACATAATTCCATAATTCCATATATAATTTGGAATTATATAATCACTAGCAGAGTACCCGTCCTTCGTACGGGGTTGGCATATAAGTATAAAATGTTTATTGCAGTTATGCTCATTAGCTTTCTGTTTGCAATGGGGAAGGACACAGTTTGATAACATTTGCTTCTCTAAATTTAAGGTATATGTTTACACATCTACCATTGCCATAATGTTCTACCACTAATAATAAATTATTGAAAATTCGCAAAATATGCTTTCCAAATCCATCGTAATGCAATACAGAACCTTTTTTCGAAATTAAAGATACAAGCAACCATTTTGTTACAAGACAGGATGTTCATTTATAGCCTCTCACTGGAGGCTCGAGGCACAAAAACTATCTTGACCTTGGAGTTGTTAACCCCCCTTCCCTGCCAACTCTACAAGTTGCGTTGTTTGTTTACTCTAGCGATAAGATAATCAGTTCTCAAAATCGTAACGCAATTTACGATTTTATAAATTTGCCACACAGATAACAAATCAGATCAGGATGTCCTCACGCTACAAACGATCACTGACAATGCTATATTTTTTGTGATTAATACAAAATAATTTATTCTTAGTCACATCCTGTGGAGATAAGCGTATGGTTCAGTTCTCATCGCCCAGCGTGGGAGCGGAAATGCCGATATTCCTAGAAAGCAGCTCTCAAAGCAAGGTCGGTTAAAACCAACGGCAATATTTTACGATGGAAGGCGGATAATCGGATTATCGGTTAATACGAGGTCAGTTAAGAGAGGGTCTATTGTACCATGGTTATTTATTATCAATTATGTCTTACAGTTTGTTGTGCTGGACAAATTCACCTCTAAGGCCCCTATTAGCCGTGAGCAACATGTGGCGCAGCTAGTGGAGCCGCCGGTGTCGGACGTGTAGAGGGGCATGGAGTCAAATGGTGCCTATTAGTCGCGGGGAGACCGGTGGCGCCGCCGAAAAAGCTGCCCGAGGTGTTGCCGGGAGTGATTTTGCCCGGTAACATGTGTCGCGACCGTTTTAGTGTCCAGGCAGTCGGGGGGCATTGCAGTATATGGAGCCTATTAGCCGTGGGAAACATGCGACGCCACTGACTGCTCGCGCATGCGTTAAAAACGTGAAAACGGAGCATGCCACACAGTCTACATCGTGGTTTGAGTCGATTGATACGTGCATCGCCATATTGTTGGTCTATTCATTAGTTACTTCTATTCACTTTGTTTCCCATTGACCTTTTTAACAGAGTATTCTTTCCTTTTTGTGTCATTCATGAGCGTTTTTAGTTGTCTTTAGTTTGGAAAAAACAATGTCTAGTGCCAAAAGTGACGTGGTAATTGTGGATGCAGTATAAGAAATCGCACTCTTTTTTTTTAACAGGAGAACAAGAAGAAGGAGCTCCGAACTGCTCAAAGTCATGTTTGACACTAGAGTGTTGTGGTGAATTCCGCTGTTTGAGCGAGCTACGAATGTGTCGCGCGACTAGTGTCCAGGTTCCGAAACGCTGTGGGCCACCGGCGGCTCCACTAGGTGCGATACCAGGGGCTCCCGACGACGCAGACTCCCGACGACACAGACTTCCGAAATGTGACGTCACGGCCGACCACCCCTTCTCTATCTGAGTGGAGTGGGAGAGAGTCGTTGCGGCAACGCCCCCGATCCGGCCGATGGCTTGTCCTCCACACGAAAACCCCTACAACACTATGACGTCACGGCCGTCTATCCCTCTCTCCGGGTAAAGTGGGGAAATGTGAGTTTTCGTCCGCGATTTTGATGTTGTTGATTTCCACTAAATTAACGATATAATTGTTTTAAATCAGATTTGTAAAGCATGGCATAGACATATTTTTTTGATATTGTTCATTCCCACTAAATTAGCAATATATTTTAATCAGATTTGAACATAATTTTAACGCAATTTGGACATTATTAGGAAAGTGTTGAGGTTTGTGAGTTAGTATGACATCCACATAAATCACTAAACTGATTAAAGTGAATGTTTGCTTTTGAATGTAATTATTGTATATTGTATTCATGAAAGCAATAAGAAGACAATGTGCTGAATTTACTCTGACTTTTAATGTAAACCTGTAGAAGTTTCAACAGCACATTGGGATATACAACGTCACACAGCTGATTTAAACCAATATTTTTTTTATTCAGAATAATTGTTTCGTTTGTTTAAACCATCGATCTCTATTACTTAGAGATCGATGGTTTAAACTAATTGGTGGGTTTATTAATTATAATACTGTGTTATTTACTGTAGGACATGGGATTCTATAGTATAATGGTAGGTAAAACAGACCAATGCTGTATTATTCAAGAGTATATATGTTTATAAATTATTATTA